AGTATATTTGGGAAATCCCTCAAGGTTTCGAGGATAATCGTAACAATAGCAACCAGCGAAGTGGCGAATTGATGACGGCCAAATGTGCCTCCCTATTACAACAAGGCGAACAGCCGCAAGCACTGTATTATCCATGTGAACTCTTTTATCGACACGAATTTCCGGCTTTTGGCTGTTCTTTCTGTTCCCACCCGTAAAGCAAATAAACACAGCAAGAAAAACATTCAGAAGTATTTCAGGCTTATTGGAGTAAATAAAAAGTTATAACTTTATAATCATTTATGTTTGTATGACCGAAATGCTTTTAACTAAATCTCGTTTTAAGTTTTTTTTTGCATTATTACTTGTCGCACTGGCATCCAGTGGCAGCGCTTCACAATCACGGCTGCTAACTTACCTTAGTGCTCATTTACACACGGCGATTTTTGTTGCCGCAACTCGACGTTTGTTGGAGAGAGCGAGAGGAGGATAGGAGAGGGGCACCGAGTTGCTCGTGCTCGGGCAACACGCTTTGTGCTTGTTGTTGTTGTTGTAGCAGCATACACGTTCCCTAAAGGATTTTGGGGGAGTGTTGCTGCAACACGCTTTGTGCTCTCGTTCGTCTGTGTAAATTGAACCGCTGTTCACAGCTGACAACAACAATTGCATACACACAAATCGCCGTGTGTAAATGAAACGAGCAACACCAAAAGGGAATGTGAAAAACCGCGTCGACAAAAGTTTCCGTGTATAAACACAGTCTCAGCTATGAGGTGCTGTATTGAAGATAAAAAATTCCCAAAACGTGGCAAATAAAAAAATAAAAGTGCCTCAAAAGCATCCACCCCCTTTTAATGGAAATATAGTTACTTATTTTCTTCCCAATTAGCAATAAAGTTAAACAAAAGTGCAATGACAAAATTTAGAAATTCGAACATTTTAGTTGAAAAAGAGAGGTACATGCAAAGACTTTCACCAGTGTATAGAAATATTACTATTTTTTAAAAGTGCCCCTCTGTGCTTTGTGCTAATTAAAAAAATCAAATGCTATTCGAAGTAAAATGGGCCAAAAATGGCACGGCCTGAGCGAAGCTGGCAGCCCTATACACAAATGTCAAACACGAATAGTGGAGAAAAGATACGAGTACGTGGAACTTTCACAGCTGAACTAGGCGGCGAGAGAATAACTATGTAAATGTAGTGAATTATTAATTAAATAGAAAAATAATCAATAAATTGTGTGAAATAAAGGTTCAGCTAAGCCTGTGTATAGAGTAACCCACTTTAATGCTACGAATCTCCATTTGAAGTTCAATCAAAAAGGAACGGAAAAAAATTCACGTTCATGTGAGACTGACAAATTAAGGTTGAAGCGGAACAAGATAAAGCAACAACAATACCAATACAAAAGATTGCTCGAAACAACGAAAGATTGGACATAAACAGCTGAAGCAAAGTGCAGCAAACAAGCCTTGTAAGCGGAGCAATACTAGTTAAGTTGGCAGCTGGAACAACAGAAGAAATCATTCATCACTAAAGGAATGGCACCAACACGCCGACCTAGCGATGGTTTGCTGGCCAGAGTTAATTTTCCACTTTACGCCATTGAAATGCTCACCAGTAGACATGTGCTGGTCGCAGGAGGTGGTGGTTCAGCTAAAACAGGCGTAGCAAACGGTTTTGTTAGTGTGCCGGATTTATTGTTAGCAAGTTTTTATATTAACTAATATTCTTGTTCAATAGGAAATCTACGAAATCTATCATAATGGCACACACTTTTGTGCTGAGGAGGTAGTGCGGCATGAAACCGGTGCCAATGTAGTCATGAATTTTGCCGTGCGCAACGATGGGCGACGCTCATATTTGTGTGCGGGTCAAGAATCACATTGTCAATTATATTTTGTTAATCCACGGATTGTATATGAGGGACAAGAGGATGCGTCAACGGGAGCAGAGGAAAAACGATCAAAGGGCAATGGTGCAACAGATCATGGAAACGAAAATGGTTTACACAGGCGTGCGGCCGCAGCAGGTCCACAAGGATCCGGTGTTCAAGATTTACCGAATGGACATGCTATGGGTGCTGCCAAGAAGACTAGTGATCTGAACGCCAACTTGAAGCGCATAAAATTTGACATCAAGGCTGGGGATTCAGTGCAAACAGATTTTCTGACAACCGAACCCTTGCAGCGAGTTGTGCGCATCAGCCCCAATGGGCGATTGATGGCCACCGGTGGCACAGATGGGCATTTGAGGGTGTGGTCATTTCCACACATGGTGCAGTATAACGATGTGAGGTGAGAATAAATGCACTGCTTTTTAATTGAGAAAGATTTACAACGCTTTATTACACAGCGCACACTCTAAGGAAATCGACGATTTGGATTTCAGTCCGGACTCCAAATATGTAGTTACCATTTCGAAAGATGGTCAAGGCTTAGTGTGGGATCTAGCGAGTATGAAACAACATCACCAACTGAAATGGGCTACACCTGAGGGATCGAAATACCTGTATAAACGTTGCCGTTATGGAACTATTGAAGCGCAACGCGATAAATATCGTCTCTTCTCTATTACTAATCCGCTGGGTAAGGTAGGTAAACAACGTGGTTTCCTACAACAGTGGGACTGCATAAGCGGGCAGTTACGCAGCGCGGTGCAAATTGATGAGAGCTTAGCCTCGTTGGCTGTGCGCGATGATGGTCGTTTCGTGGCGGTGGGCACTATGTTCACTGGCAGTGTTTCTATCTACATTGCCTTCAGTTTACAGGTAATAAAATCAACAAATATTCATTAATAATATTGGAAAATTAATCGCCGTTTATTTATTTGTAGCGCGTTCTCCACATTCCCAATGCGCATTCGATGTTCGTAACCGGTTTACAATTCTTACCCATCACAAACGAGGAGGGACCACCAATTTCAAGTGATACTGAAGCGGCGGTCCTTTCAATATCCGTAGACAATAAAGTGTGCATACACAGTCTGCAGCAACGACGTAAGTGGTTATAAGAAATTCGATTAAAACATTAATATTAAATATGTTCTTTGTTTGTTTTTCTTGCTTTAGGAACCATACCCGCTTGGGTGGCAATAATACTCATCATCGTCGTGCTTTTTGGCGCCTTTGCCTTTTGTTCATATGTAGGCATTTAAAAATACATACAGATTTGTGGCATTTAATTAAGTGGAATGAAAAGCAGTAGGATGATATGAAATTTAGCAACACGTCAACTAACTGAACAATATGTAGGAACATATACACCTGCGTTCAACTATCTAGAAACGAAATTCTAAAAGATATTGGTTGCCAATTATGTTTATTTTTTTATTTTTAATAATTTTCATTTAAAATATACACAGTTTAATCTGTAACAGAAACCACAATAATAAAATTTTCAAAGCTTGCGAAAATTCCATAAAAAAAAAAAATTATCAAACTTCAAAATATTGTCATTAAAATTTCCAAATTTTTGTTCAGAATATTTAGAAAATTTTCGGGTATGCAGTTCTGTAGCCCATTCAATTGTAGTCCAAGAAAGTGCAAGATTCAAGTCGTTAAAAATTACCGTTGATTTTTTAGAATTTTGATCGTGTGTTATATGGAAGAAAATGCGCAACACCCTCCACTAAAAAAAAAATTCTAAAAAATCAACGGTAATTTTTAACGACTTGAGTCTTTCACTTTCTTAGACTACAATTGAAGCTTTAAAAATTTTATTATTTTGGTTTCTGTTACAGATTGGACTATATTTTAAATAAAAATAATAAAAAATAAAAAAGTAACATAATTTGCAAACAATATAATTTTGAAATTCGTTTCTAATTATATATATATATGTATATATATATATATATATACCGGTAGAGCGTTACTTGATACTATGTGCATACAGTTCAAAGTAAGCAGCAAAAATGAAACACAATAGCGTATATTTCTTACTCCAGTTATCAATAGCCACTTCTCTCTTTGTACAGTTACTTTATTTGCAACTATAAAATTAAGTATATTCATATTCAATTAAGTTTAAGTGCTTTCACTAGTTTGCCTTATCAAAAAGCAGATACCGGAAAAACAGATTTCAAATAAAAAAGCCTGTTTCAGAATATTCTCGATCGGTTCTTAAGAGAATCTAGTGCGCTTTTGTTTATTTAATTGTAATTATCCGCAGTATTTAAAACTAAGATAAACTAATTCCATGCTTGCAAAAACCACAACCATTTGTAACAAAAAATACGAAAGCGAAATATTTATAGTTAGGTGATTAATTAAAAATAAAAGTATAAAATGTCACCCATTTGTTTATTTATTCCTGAAGACATGTTACATCGATTGAGGTAAAAATTCAAGATTTCTGCAAAAAACGTTATTGAAATGCGGAAGTAGATCCTTTCAAACAAAAAAAAAAATAAAATAAAATAAGTAAATAAATTAACTAGACATTGGACGAACTTAAAATAATGACAATACAATACTAAAAAAATTAAATCATACAAAACTTAAACAAAAATCTTATTGACGACTTGAGGGTTTCGCAACTAACAATGAACCGAGGACTATTATAAAAATTCAGAAGTTGTTGTTACTTTGCCTCAGCGCATTGTAAGCGCTGCAATACGACTTCGTGCTTCTTTTGCCAGTTTGTGAGAAAGCTCTCTAAGGCTTTGAATGACCTTTCCTCTGATTTCAGTTGCTTAAGAGCTGCATCACGCTGGTCAGAGAGTATGCTATTATCTACAAGTATTTGGGTAAATCTCTCCCTGTTGAAGTTATGTCGCAAGAAAAAGCTCGAGTCGATGCTTAAACTTCTGGGATAGGGCTTGACTCGTGGTTGATAACGCTGTGAACGCGCTGGCGGTACATATTTTACTTCGGGTTCATTTGAAGCAACGGTAGGTAATTGCTGAACGGGTTTTTTGTCTATAATTTCAATGAAAGGTATCTCTTTGTTTATCAACTCCTGCGGTATTTTTGAGCATAGCTGATCCAGAATCTGAAGAGAATAAATATGCAAGTTAGTGGTTGACCCAATAATGATAGCAGTATTACGTACTAATTTTTGATGCGTTAATAGTTGATTCTTTTGACGCGGTGCTAACAGGCAATGGACTAGCGGATACAAGCGCCAGTCGCTGAGTTTTTGGTCATCTAGTTCTAAACGACGTCTCTCGGCACTAGTAAGATACCAAAAGCGTGTGATTATTGAAATAAAAACTTGTATAAAATCCATTTAAACTTACATATACTTGTTTTTGAAATTGTTAATTCTACGCCGGACCTCCTGAGCGTTCACATGGAACCCATATTCACGCATTCCCTCCGATATAGTACGAAAAATGGGAATGTTTTGCTTTAATGTCGTCACGTCATCGCTGTGCAGCCGCCATAGTTCTACTAAACGCATCTCCTCCCAACTATTCCAGTAACGATGTCGAAGATGCCTTGGTAGGTTTGTCGCGTCATCCTCAGGCGTTGCAGATTGAGTATGGGTTGGTGGTTGGTTCTCATCAACCGTTTCATTGTCGGAATTGCCCATACCTTAATAACGGTACAGCCAACGAAAACTCATAAGATTTTACTTTTCCCCGTAAAATAAATTCCAAATACTTTTATACAGGTAGTAAAAAAATTAAATGCCAATGAAATCAGGAATGAAAAGATACGAGTAAATACAAGTATATACTCGATACTTTTCGATCGATACCCAAGGCGCATCAATTACAGGTGATAGCGATAGAAGCTATGCTTCTTCTTATGAGCACGCTTGTGTCAAATTGTCGTCTGTTTTGCTTTATTTACATATCCGCGTACACATACACATATACGTATATATATACCCTGCAAACAAATGCTCCCGAAATCTTTAAGAGTGTCGGAAATTTGTTACGATTCTTTTAGAAATCTGTAAAGAAAAACATATGAAGCGGTTGACAAGAACTAGTAAAGAAATTTCTGTACGATTTCTTAAAGAAAATTCTTAAAAAAATTGTGAAACCTTTCAGAATTCTATGCAATCCTGGTATGCAGGGTATACATATACACACGAATATGAATAGATAAAAAAGATGTTGATGACACAAGGAGTTCATACCAACGGTAAATGTTGTTTTTGTACGATTGATACAACCTGTAGTTGTTGAATCATGATCGATACCTAGGAATTTAGCTATCGATACTTTTGAACCAAGTACAGTAGAGTCTCGAAAATTTTAGCCGAAATTTCCAAGGGTAATTAATTAATTAGGATACATGAACACTGAAATTCGGTTAACTTAGCCGAGCGATTAACTTTTTCGCGAGTTAACTTTTCCGCGATTCTACAGCACTGAGTATGTATCGAAAAACAAATACTCGTATCGAAACTCGATACTTCGACAAGTTTTCCTCCACGTTTATTCCGCATATGAAGAAAATAATAAACGTTCCGTTTGCATCACCAAAGTCGATGTAAAGCGACTTATACACGGCCCTACTGTTCGAGTGGAACTTTATTATACGTACTCCGGTTGATACTTTCTTTGGATACTACTTCCCAGTAAAAGTATCGATACCTGCATGGTATCGTTCCATATCTAAATAAAATTGAAGCAAAACTGAGTTGCCGCACCCGAAGTTATTCTTAAAACCTTGTTGCACCAACAAAACTCCTACAAGGACTTCCTTAATTCATCGGAACCGTCCAAATATATTCAACAATATGTCTGTACCATGATAATAACAAACTATATTTTTTATCATGGTCTGTACCATTTTACCCACGGCGCAACAAATAAATTAAAAATTTATTTGAATGAAAATATTGCAACAACTCACTTTATTAATAAATGTATTCGGTTTTTACAGAGTTAATAAAGAAACGCGATTCCTCAGAATTTGAGTACGTGACCAAACAGTCGGCGTTGCCAGTTGGTTTGAACATGTAAAGAATGTCTCAAATAAAGAATATCTGATTAATTAGCGGTTATAAAATATATCCAACGAATTATTATTAAATAAAATTTTTGCATACTCTATTTTACATATATACCTTTCAATTGCAAAACTTTCTATTAAAAACCTTCCTTCAGCACACTAAACATAGTTAAAATGCAATTATGTGCATTTTGCTTTTTTGACATTTCCACAACGATTCATAAACGTCAATTTAGCCCCGCTGCGTCTATCTTGCCGACAGTTGTGCAAAAACTAGAAAATTTTATACCGAAAATCTAGCACAAATTGCATTTTGGCAAAAAATACAGAAAATTTACCATTGAAAATCGAGTGTTTAACCCCGGCCTATTCAAATGCTGTCCGAGGAAGAGGCGGGAATGGATTACGATGAGTTGACGTTGAATCCACTGCTAGCCGAAATCGAGGCTGAAACTACTGAGTTGGACTCTAAAAAGGAAAAGCAACGCCGCTACTGGACGGCAAAAGAAGAGCAACGTTTCTTCGAGATTTGGGGTCGCGACAATTGGCGTTTGACTCGGCATGGAAAAAATACAATTTTCTTCGCAAAATGGGCTATTGAGTTGAAGGACCGTTTCGATATTGACGTGAAACAAGAGGAAATACAAGCGAAAGTTAATCAAACGCGCGCAAAGTTCAGGTAAATCGTTGTAAGCGAGAAATATCTGTTTTATGGCTAATTATACATTAGTTCATTCATACAAACCTATATGTACATGCAAATAATTGATAAAAATTAACTTTTTGATACACTTGCAGACAAGTCAAAAAACAGATAGCAGCAGACAAGAATTGCGTACGTTGGAAAAAGTTTGCCATAATTGATAAAATACTTAAGAACCAATATCGCCCAAAAGATGCCTCACCGGTACCGAAGGAGGCGCTGGAAAATAATCGTGATATCGATTTGAGTGAAGTTTCGTCGCCACCGTCACCTTCACGATCGGCACGTCAGTCCTCACCCACAAGTATTACATCGAGTTCCAATACGCAAGAAGCACCTACCAATGCATCGGTGGCGGAAAATAACAATACTGCTGTATCAATAGACGTGCCAGCAAGCACAGAAGATATTGACATAAAAGTTGAGGTAAGCGTCAGTTGATGTTTTACCTTCTAGGAAAGACAAGAAAAATAATATACCTTTTTAATTCCAACATTTAAATTATCTTCCTTGAAGGGTGAATTTCTCGCTGATTCCAGTATAACTACAACACTATTCAATACAACCGCTGAGCTTTTCAGTGACCCTATTGATGAGGTTAAAGCTGAGTTCCCAAGTGAATATCATACTTTCGGCAACTACCCACAGCCAAATCATTTCGAATCCCAGCCACCAACACAGGATGATGATTATGAGGAACCACAATTGCATACACTGCAAACACCACAACAACTTTTGGAGCAGCAGCAACAACAGCAACAACTGCAGGAGCAACAACAATACCAACAGTATCGTCCTCCAGCATCTTCATCAGCACCACCACCTGATACAACTACAGTAAACAACTCACAACATCCGGATCAATTACTACAGCAGCATGCACAACAAAATCCGCAACAAGCCGGGTATGATCATAGCGGCAACTCATACGCAGCGAATCAAATTGCCGCCAATCAGAATCATTACACTTCAAACACTACGCCAGCTGCAGCCACATCATCCACACAACAACAAGCTTCTGACAACCCAGTATATAATAATCAATACGCTGGCAATACTAATCATAACAACACTGCTAGTGCTAGCAGCAGTGCTGCTACAATGCAGCCACCAACGTCAGGGCTAGGTCGCGGTGCACCCGGACAACCGCGACGACGGCGCACGACGCACGTTAATAATATGGTGGTATCAGCGCAGGGTGGTACAGATTCTTTGGAGTCAATGTACCTTAATGAGGTGCGCAAAAAGAATATACTGCTTGCCGAGCAGTTGGAAATCTCACGCAAGCGCATGTTGATAGAAGAGCGTAAGGTGAATCTTTTGGAACGTTTCTTTCCGAAATGCCTGGAAATGCAGGAACAAATACTTGAGAAGCTTAATAACAATACTTAAACCAGTTAAAATTCTGCTATTGAAGCATGTAACGCAGCAAAATTAAAAGAAAAAAAAAAAACCTTCATACATATACTATTCAAAATTATTCAAATAAGCTAAGAAATATCCCTGTGTTCAAAAATGTCTCAAGCCAAAGCATCATTCTCTTTTATTTATGAACAATAATTGATGGAAATATCCAATATGCGCAACTCTGTTAAATACCGAATTGGAACTTAGTTACGCAAATAAGACATTTCCTTCAATTATAGTTTAAAAATAAAATGAACTAGTGTTTTGGCTTGATACATTTCTGAAAACAGCTTAAGTTAAAAATGCAGTAAATATTAGTGATCAGAGAAAAGTACTAAATTTCGCAATTGCTAAATATTCTATATTTGTTTAAATGCTGTAAAAATATTTAGAAAGACCCGGCATGAAATCAGCATGTATGTATTTTTATTATTTAATCGCATCTAAACTGAGCAGTTGTCAAACATACACCTTTTTCTCCTTCAATAGGTCTCTTTTAAACTGACTTGAACAAATGTAATTAAGCTAATTGTTTGTTTAGTTAATTAGATTGAGAAAAAAAAAATTAAAACCCTCCTATTTCGATACCAGTAAGCTTAGATTTTCTAAAATTAATTGCATGTACTAAAGTGTTTGACCTAACATACAAATGTATTTAGTGGCAGTGCTGCTGGATCATTGCGCGTATTGAGTAGCACGAATATTTTCAAAGCAATTAAATTTATATCTCTGAGAATCTTTGTATGAACACGAATTATTTATTTATACTATTACGTAAACTTAAAAATTTCCAAAAAATTACTCTTGTCTCTCATTCTGACAAGCTTACACCCATTTTAAATGTTTGCAGCTTGACTAAATATTTAAATATTTTTTTAAATAATTTAGTTCGATGCGAGTTTTTTAACGGGAAATTAAACAAAAAAAAAAAATTAATGCTGCTATAGAACAGAAAGAACATATTCAATTACCTACATAATTAATTGTAAAGAGATTCATATTAAAAATTCCTTATGCATCATGTTTAGTACTAATAAAAAAAAATATATATATATGTATGTATCTATATATAAATAAAAATAGGAAAGAAAAGTTGCAAGCAGATATGTAGGCGAACAAACAAATAAAAATAATAAAATAATATAAACACAATGTGGGTAAATGCCGTAAAGTTGGTTACAAAAATAGCATGTCGATATTAAGAAAAGGCGTGAAACTGAAACCGACATACAAACATACAAACATACATATATGTATGTATGTATGTAAGGATAAGTCAAGCTAATGAATACGATTTTTCATTTGTAAAACCACTAAAACAAAACAAACTGGCGAAAGAAATCAAGAAATGAAATAAAGTTAAATGATTTTTAATTGTACAAATAATTTTTAAATCATGCAAATTTGCATGGACATTTTACTTCTTTCCGGAGAAAAGTATCATAAACCGGTTATTCTCTAAGAAGATAGACATTGGACGGTATCGAATGCATGGAGTTACATACATATGTATATATCACAGCTGGTTCATTTTTATGTGAAAACGCGCTGAAAGCAACCTCTCCCGCAAAGATGTTAAAATTACTTGTATTTATGTAAATACAAAATAAAAAGTACGTATTTTGAAAATACAAATACTTTT